GGGGGGGGGCCGCCTGTTCGGCCCACGACTACTTTCACACTCATCCATCCCTGTGATTTCGAGTGTGGTGATGGTCTCATTGATCGTCACGCATTCCTCGTGAGTATAGATCAAGTGCCTTTCCCACCCCGAGGACGGACCATGACGCTGACGGGGCTTCGGGATCTCGGGCTTGACCGTCACAATTGATCAGATCTTGGATATCCATGCCACAGCGAGTGCTGTACCGCCCTCGTCGGCGCTGTCACATAGCTTGATCATGTTTGCTCCCGAGGCTATGGCGGCGGATGGCTAAACCAGGGTTGAAGCATGTGATTTCGAGAAGGGCCATTTGACGTGGTTGAATGAATGATTCTAGGCTGGTGCTGAAGGACACTGCGCGGCAGCCGACGACGAGATGTGGAATCAACCATCGCGAACATAGATGCTCCTCTTCAAAGATTGAAAAAATCTCCTCACCGAAGCAATATCTCTGAAAGCGTCTCCACATTGATCTCTATGGAGAATACATGCGCTGCGGGGGTGTGTGAAAGTGAGAAGAGGGCGAGTCGCGAGCAGGCCGTCTTGATAGCGGCTTACCGTCTGCGTGAACGTGCCGAGCTCGAAGCAGTTCGACCATTGCTTGCGCTGCCAAGTGCTTGACCAAGACACTGTTAGGGCACAAGCTCGGATATTGCGGCACCACGTAACGAGTCTCACCATATTGATCCCGCCTGGGATATACCAAACAAGCCCACAGCGAATAGTCGCCAGCATTGCATATCATGTACCTATAAGTTGTGCTACGTCACAAACATGACACGCCAGCGGTCCATGAGCATGTTGTGGTAGGACTATACCAGAATGGACTTGTTCCTTCTGATCCTCATGGCTGCTCTTCGAATAATGGGCACCCAGATGGGCAAAGGATACATGATAACGCAACTTCTTGCGCCAATGCCGAAAGGCCAAACAGCTTGCTGTGACGGACCGCCGTAGGATCCAGGTAGGTGCTGACGCAAGGACAGTGACTGTGATCGGAGAGAGCAACTCCGTACCACGACATCCTGTTTAGGACGAATCCAAGACCTGGCGCACTTTGACGGGCCATGAAACATTATGGTTCAGGTTGCAGAGCTCGTGATGCGGGTACCAGCGTTAGGCGCGGGGTAAAGCCACCGCCAACGCAATCTGACCTGTAAGGTGCTGGGGGAGACATTCTTCGCTGTGTGCCAGTGGCTAGTCAAATGAGCTGGAGGTGTGTAGCGCATGATTCGTTACACCAGAGGGCCAAGTGCCCAAAACAACCGAAGTCGACTTGCTTAACAAGATTGGTGACCTTTCTTGAAAGGGTCTAGATGATTTTTCAGGAGCTGGCTGATGAGTGCAGCACCGTGCGATAGTTGCGCAGATGGACCGCATGACTCATATCGAAGCTAAAAAGAGTTCGTGCTCGAGCGTACTGTTGTAGGTTTTGGACCCTGCGGATTGCGCCCCATGCGAGCGTAAGCGCTCGCTCTCTGACTTAGAACAGGATCGCCCGTCCCAGGTCGACCTGATCTACATTCACGTTCGTAGGAAGGCTGCGACCGGTAACATCGACGCAGCGGAGTTGTTACCACGAGTCATATTGCTCGTTCATCATCAGTGCCCAAGTTACTCCCAACACGCATATGCTGTTTGAAACTGCTGGCGACAACATCGAAGTGGAGACGAGGTAGACCAAATAATAATTGGTGAGCAATCCATTCATGGGAGGGTCAGGAACGCAAAGCTACTGCAGACGACCGTCGAGTTAAGCGGCCCATTCCTCTGAGTAGCGGGAGATCATTCGCCGTTATGATGGCCTTGGCCCTGTTAGGTATAACCTGGACAGCTTTTCAACAATGCGGTGCTTTGACACGATGTGCTAATGCTAGGATGGTCAACCTTCGAAAGTGCAAACTGGCATGCTGACGTCGCCACAGGAATTCCTGGAATAGGTACAGAATATCCCTTGCATGATCGCACGAGGGTTGGCATTCCAGAATACTGTCCAAAACGTGGCACTATTGGCGTTGTGTCGGATGAAGTGGCCGGCTTGACCAGAGAATCTGCTGATGTGAATCTGCTGTTGCACAAATTCCCATGCGGATGCCAGAGTTGTCTCGAAATTTTTCTAGACCCGTGCGTCTGCAGTTTGCCGTGTGTCAATTGAAAAATTCTGATATGGCTCGAAGCAGGAGAGCACCCCGGGCCATGGTTGGGAGTGGCGACTCCTCAGGGGTTGTGGTGTGATTCAGCCATTCAGGACAACGTGACACCCCACGCTTTCACCACAAGTCAGTCGAGAGTCAAGGCCCTGCTGTCAAGTTCGTCGCAAGCCTAGAGGCAAATTTGCTTGGTGTGTGGGATGAGGATCTGGCTAGGGACAGGGCTAGGGGCTTGTCACACTGCAAGCCACAATCTGGAGAAAGACCCAGTGACAATGGGGTCTGCTTGCCAGTGCGGGTCTTCGCTCTCTTTTAGGTCTTCGCGCTCTTTTGCTGCGACTGCTGGTAAGAGGCGATAAAAAGGACAATTGTTGAGGGACGCTCAACCAAAAAAACCCAATTCCGACTAACTGTCGGAGAAATCTCCTAGGCGTGACCAGTACCTAAGAATGGCCAGATTGCAAGTCCCCAGGGCTGAGCAGGAACTGCCGACTCGTGACGAGTCAAGCGGCAGGTCAAGGCCAATCATGAGGCGTCTCAGCTACCTACCTTAGGGACTGGCGGCCATGAAGAGTGTGTGGAGCAGACCTTAGGAACAGGTCCGTGTACGCTCTGTGAACGATGGACGTGTCCACGAGCAAACGTCCGTCTCATGTTTGACAATCATGCTTCTTACGAGGCCACTCCCACTGCACCATAGACAATATTTTCCTACTGCGTCCGATGACTGCTGCCCAGCTCTTGATGGTCTGGGTACGGGAGATCAGGGAACGGCTGGCTGCAGGTTGAAGTCGAATTGGACAGTGCCTTGATTGCATGGATTGAGAAGAAGCGAGGATTTGGGGAGCCCTTGTTTACACAGGATTTTTCATCTAGCCGGTCTAGCTGGAACAAGGTTGGGGGGG